AAAACAAAAGTGCGCGGCGCTAAAGCGACAACCGCACTTCGAAAAGACACCGCCCTCCATCCGTGAAGTTCTTGCACAAATTTAAAGCGAGTGTTTGCGGCACTAAGACGAGCCGAACCGTCTTGCGCTATCCCTGGGTGCTTAGGTGAAGTGGGATTTCGTTGCCCAGATTCAGCTAATTTGTTGTCGATGTTTTCGCCGTCCTCGTCCGCGGTCCTCCCGCGGCCCACCCGCAACTCACCTGTGACCCCCCTCGCGACACACCTGCAACCCACCCGCGATCGAACCACGTCGCGTTGAGTAAGAGTCGGCGCCTGCGGCGGGCTTCATCACATTTTCTTTCGAAACTCGCAGAGGCGGACCCGATGACGTGGCGACGAGAACGCTATCTGGAGGCCCCGGGGGGAAAAAATAGGGTTTCGCAACAATCAGAGGAAACGAATACAGACATGAAGGATGTGGCGCATGCGGGAGTTTAAAGCATGTAAGCCGGCGGCTGCGGATGCATGGGTACGTGCGCAATTGAAGAACATGTTCCCACGAATGACGTGGGGAACCCTCGTGTGGCCCACACACTGGCCCGCTCATGTCCCAGGCTGTCCAGGTGCGCGATGCAAAGCAATGGCAAGCCATGCGATTGAATGCCAAACAAAACAACGCACTGCCAAACTCGGCCGCAAACGTACGAAGCAATGCAATTTCAAACAATGCCGCCTTGGCTTTGGAAATGCGCCGACATCTGGACTCGCCAAGGATTTCTGGAAGTTTGTCGCAAACCCAGGATTCGGGTCAGTTAGGTGTATTTCGTAGGAAGACACCCGACCATGCAAAGAAATGACGTTCGGGGTCCGTCGCGTGGCCACCACACGGTTTCGCTCGTGGCCCAAATTGCCTGGTTGCACAGTGCAAGGCAATGGAAAGCATCGCATTACTGTTTTACATCGTTCCTTTCATTCAGCCTTGCTCTTGCCTGGCGTTGCGAGCCATTTCCCGTCTGCCGTAAGTTTTTGCGGAGGTTCCTCCTTGGAGAACCTCTCGGGGGCCTCACGAATGGCTCAAGGGCTTCGGGAACATCTGGAGGCATCCAAGGCGCCTTTCTGGGCCGTCTTAGGGGGTCCTTTTGAAGCCCGTTTGGGCCGTCTTGGGTCCCTCTTGGGCCGTGCTGGGGCCTTCTTCGGGACTTCGTGCCCTCTATGGGCTTTCTTGGGGCCATCTTTGGCTTTCCTGGGGACCTCACATGGCACTCGTGGGTCTCTCTTAGGAGCCTCTGGGGCTTGTGAACCTCTTGGACCGCCTGGGGGCGATCTCGAAGGCCTCTTGGGCCGTCGTGAACGCAACTACGATACAACAATATGCTGAAAATTCATGGGGAATACTTTTGCTCTTCAACCGTTTCTATGATCACGTTGGGTCTGGGTGGTCGACCTGCCGTCCATCATGTTACATTGCAAGGACACGTCTAGAAGTGTTGGCAGACAGCATTTCACGATGCAATTGTTTGCAGAGCTCGACGGTCGAGTGTTATGCGTGCGGCGTCGCATGTAAGCGCTTTCTACTTTTTCGAGCACATAATGTCCGCTTTCGATGCCGTTCATATTATGTTCGGGTCGCGCTGGTGTGGTGCTCCCGCACCCTCGAACTTACTCTAACACTCCACCGTTCACGCGATTCCATCTCTCATCGCGGGTTCGTAGGTTAGCACCCTGCCCATAAATTTCGCCTGGCCATAGCTTGCTCAACGCTAATCCACCAATCGGCGGGTCCGGCTTACAGGTGTTCTCGCGCTTCAATCTCTAACATCGCTTGGCCGATGATTCAGTGGCCGCCAAGTAGCACCAGACTGCTTGCGCTTGCGTTCTCTTTGAATCGAGCTTGCTAATTCTTCTGGCCGCTGCACCCTCTTTTTTGGGGCTTACAAGCCCTCTACTCCACCACCCATGGTTTGCATTCCAGTGTTCGACGTCTCGTTCACTGTGCTTTCGACCACGATCGATTGCAATTCGCACTTCCATATGCTGCCTGCACTTGAGGATCCTCTGCGCAGCTGACGCAAGTGTGTGTGTGTGTGTTGTGTGTGTTGTGTGTGTGTGTGTGTGTGTGTGTGTGTGTGTTCGCGTGTGTGTGTGTGTGTGTGTTCGTTCTTTTCACTACCACCACCGATCTGGATGGCCGCGGCTGGATTCTTTCACCACGGCGCGTTCGACAAGATTCGTTCGCCATTGGCACCTCCATCTGCCGACCGCGCCTGAGGTTCCTCTGCGCCACCGAGTTAACAAGTGTGCGCGCGCGCGTGTGTGTGTGTGTGTGTGTGTGTGTGTGTGTGTGTGTGAGAGTGTATTCGCGGTGGCGCTCCCGACGGCGCTCCCCTCCGCGGTGGTTCGTCGGTCCCCTCTTCCTCCTCGGGGGTCGCGGGGTTCGCCTGGTCGTCGTCGTTGCCGGTCGTGGGCTCGGCCGCGTCGTGGGGTCCCCCCCCCGCCGTCGCCTCTCCCGGCTCCCCTCCTGCCGCTGCCCGTGCTTGCTCTTTCCCCCCCTCTCCCTCGCCTTCTGGGTCGCCCTCGGGGGGTTGAACCTCTTTTGCGTGCTCGACTGGCAGGCACGGCTGGCGTGGTACGCCTCTTTCCGCTCCTCCTCCTCCCCCTTTCCTCCTCCTCCTCTTCTTCTTGCCCCCTCCCGTTGTTGACAGCGGTGGCGGCGGCTGGTTGGGTGGTCGACCCTCCGCCCATCATGTGCCATTACAGGGGCACGTCTAGAAGTGTTGGCATGCTGCATTTCTCGATACAATTGTTTGCAGAGCTCTGCGGTCGAATGTTACGAGTGCGGCGTCGCAGGTACGCGACCTTTACTGCATCGTTCGAACACGTAGCGTCCACTTTCGGTGACGCTCATTTTATGTTCGGGTCGCGATGGTGTGGTGCTGCCGCGCCTTGTAGGTCTAGCGCTCCACCCATTCACGCAAGTCCATCTTGCGTCGCCAGTTCGTAGTTTAGCACCCTACCCATCAGTTTCGCCAGGCCATAGCTTGCTCAGTTCTCACCCACCAATCGGCGGGTCTGGCAGCCTTCCAGGTTTTCCCGCGCTTCAATGTCTGACATCGCTTGACCGATGATTCAGCGGCCGCCAATTAGCACCAGACTGCTTGCGCTTGAGTTCATTTTGAATTGAGCTTGCTCCTCAATTTTCTGTCCGCTGCACGCTCTTTCTTTTGGTTTACAAGCCTTCGAGTCCACCACCCATCGTTTGCATTCCAATGTTCGACGTCTCTTTCACTGTGCTTTCGACTACGCTCGATTGCAATCCGCACTTCCATCTGCTGTCCGCGCTTCAGGACCTTATGCGCCGCTGACGTAAAAGTGCGTGTTCGTGAGAATGTGTGTGTGAAGGTTTTTTTTATCACAATCCCCGCGCCTTGTAAACACATGGAGGATGAGTAGAGTCGTACATGTCTCTGTATACGTGTCTACATATACTTGTGTGAATGATTACATACATGTATACATACAACTATGTGAACTTGTGTATATGAAAACGTATAGGTATATGGACATGATGTGAACATGTATCTATTTTTGTATATGTAGATTCGATGCCTCGTATACTCACATGTGTATAACATGTGCGCGCGTACGAGTACACATGTATACGCATGTGTGATGTACAGATCTATATTCGTATGTAAATGTAGTTGTAGATGTATATGTGTAGGTATATGATTATGTATCTGCATCTGCATATGTATATGTATTTGTATACGTAAATGTACATGTTGAGATAAAGGCGAATTTGTTCCTATATGTACGTATACAACCCATACGTATAATCAAGACAGCATTGGTGCTTCGCGCCAGGCACCTAGGTCCTTCCATTTCGGCATGCGGGCGGAATGATGGAGAGATAAGCAAATAGAAACATACATACTGCATTGTTGCCATTTTGGTCGTCGCCGTAGTCATTCTAACAAATTGTTCTCTCGCCTTCAAATTTCCTTATTCTCTCCGTCGTTTTCACCTGACCCTGCGAAATCTTCCCCGTTCGCCTCAACTTTGTTTCGGAAACACCTCCTTGGAAAGCCTCTTGGGGGCACCGCAGTAGATTTGCAATGGTTTCTTGTGAGCTTCTAGACGCTTCCTCAACGCCTTTTGGGGGCATCTGGGGGCTTCCTCGGGTCACCTTGCTGCGAACCACGGTAACAGGCCTCCAAGAATCCCCCAAGAGAACAAAAGAGAGGCCGATGGAATAACAGTAAGGAAGGACGACGACTACGAACACGAGGAGGGACACCCCGACACGACGCGGAAGAGCGTACCACCCCAAGCCTCGGGACGCTATATGATACATTAAGGCTTCTTGTGTGCTTTTCGAGGAGTGGCCTCAAAGAGTGTTAGGCTGACGCGGTGGCGGGACTTGTCGCAGGCCGCAAGCACAAACAACTGAATACCCAATGGACAAACGCACGGGACAAGCACAAAACAACTGCGGGCGCACGGGGCAACTAAAGCAACCGCTCGGGCTAACTACGGGACGGGACAAGCGCAAGACAACCCGCGCGACACCCAGCAGAAACATAATCATGTTTGTCGAGCTTGCCCCTAGCTGCGGCCAACAATCTCCCTCCGTCCGCACACGCAACTAGAACTCCCCCGAGCGATACACGAAACGATCCGGAACCGATGATCTGATCCCTCAACCTCTGCCATATTCAACGGACGTGCGCAATAATGGAAACCACACAACGCAAATCAAACTATCGAGGAAACAAGTTTTTCGGAATATGAAGCAAACCGTCGCGGAAACGATTTACTCAGAGCCACGCGTGGGGCACGAAAACAACGTACCAAGCCAGTGGAGTACGGGTGGACAGCGACGACATGGGACGGGACCACATTGGAGGAGGCAGGGTTGAGATTGGGAGTGTGAGGGGTGAGAATACTGCATGGGGGAGGGGCGATACAGGAAGGTAGGTGGAAGAAAGTGGATGCGGGAAGGGGGACCCCGACGCCGTCCTGCCCTTGTGGCACGTACTCGTAGGCCACCTGGCAGCAGACTCGCTGGCAATGGCCCTGCGCACTGCTCAACCCGAGCTGAACCCCTTGGCCTTCGCCTGGCCTCCACGCTTTCTTTTCCCCTCTAGGCCACGTGGCTCGCCCTGTTCGTCGTCCTTCTCGTCTTCTCCCTCGCCTTCCCTCCCCTTCCATGTCCACCTTCCCTCTCGGTTTCTTCTGGTCCCCTCGTACCTTCCTTGCCTTCCTCCTGGCTCTATCTACCGCTCGCTTGCCTCCCCGTATGCGGCTCCTTGTCCCCCCCCCCTCGCCCTGCGCACGACTGCCTCTCGCTCCTCTCCGCTTTCCCCCTTGCCCGCTCGCGTTTCATGCGCCCTCCTGGCCAAGTCGCGGAAAGCACTTGTGGTACCTGCGGACCTCCGATGGCATCTTCAGACGCAGCCCCCCCCGTATGGCCTCACGTCTGTTTTCTGTGCTTCTGCGCCCAGGAACTCCAGAGCCCCGAGGCTCAAGAATACGGTCCCCCCCCTCCATTTTCATTCCCAACCATCCTGTGGTGTTGGGTCCTCGTTTTGAAGAGACAGCGCCCCGCGTCCTCTCCTCCTCCCCTCCTCCCTCCTCCTCGTCATCGTCACGCAACCATCCTGTGGTGTTGGGTCCTCGTTTTGAAGAGACGGTGCCCCGCGCTCCTCTCCTTCCTCCTCCCCCTCCTCCCTCTTTCCATCATCATCATCATCGTCATCATCATCAGCATCACCATCATCATCGACGACATCATCATCATCGTCATCACCATCAACATCATCATTGTCGTCATCATCGTCATCGTCGCAGTCACCTTCGTCGTCATCATCATCTCCGTCATCGTCACAATCATCGCCATGAGCTTCGGCACACCCCTTACACGTTTCGTGGCCCCATAGGAGCTCCACCGAAGGCCCCCTGTGGCGCAGTTCGCATGCGTCTCCCCCACACAGTACAGCGTTTCGTGGCCCCATAGGGAGCGCCACCTAAGGTCCCAGTGGCGCAGTTCGCATGCGTCTCCCCCGCTCAGGACAATGTTTCGTGGCCCCACAGGGAACCCCACCGAGGGCCCCAGTGACGCAGTTCGCATGCGTGTCCCCCGCCCAGGACAGCGTTCCGTAGCCCCATAGGGAGCTCCACCTAAGGTCCAAGTGGCACAGTTCGCATGCGTCTCCCCCATCCAGGACAGCGCTTCGTGGCCCCATAGGGAACGCCACCGAAGTCCCAGTGGCGCAGTTCGCATGCGTCTCCCCCGCCCGGGGCAGCGTTTCGTGGCCCCATAGGGATCCCCACCGAAGGCCCAGGGGCGCAGTTCGCATGCATCTCCCCCGCCCAGGACAACGTTTCGTGGCCCCACAGGGAGCTCCACCGAGGGCCCCAGTGACGCAGTTCGCATGCGTCTCCCCCGTTCAGAACAGCGCTTCGTGGCCCCATGGGGAGCCCCACCGAAGGCCCCATTGGCGCAGTTCGCATGCGTCTCCCTCGCCCAGGACAGCGTTTCGTGGCCCAATAAGGAATCCCACCGAAGGCCCCAGTGGCGCAGTCCGCATGCGTCTCCCCCGCCCATGACAGCGTTTCGTGGCCCCATAGGGAGCCGTCGCCCCCATTTCGGCACTCCCTGACACGTTTCGTGGGCTCCACCGAAGGCCTCAGTGGCGGCGTTCCGAAGGTGGGATTAGTTCCATGCGTTCGTTTTTGAAGGCTGCGACGTGTAACCCAGCAGCTGCGCCTCGCCGACAGCGTTCCAGGGGCGATCGCCGCAACCAGCCCGGGTGCCCGAGCTACTGGCGTTATTGCCCGAGAGTTGTCGAGTTGCCGCGGCCCAGCGACTTCGTCAAGCGCCTTGTCAAAAAGTTCGAAGACGGCGCGGTCAGCCCGAGGACGGGGGAGCGGCAGCGCCGCCCTCTGAAGCTAGACCAGGCCCTGTTCGCCACGGCGTTCGCGAACAATTGCAACGTGGTGTGGGACGAGGAGCGGAAGATCGAAGGGCAGCATGGCCAAGCACGAGAAGCGGAAGACGTTCCAGTTCCTGCTCCTTGGCCAGGGCGGCAGCGGGAAGACCGCCATGGTGCAGAAGATCGTGCTGCCGGCCATGGACGCGCTGTTCCCTGTGAAACCAGGCAAGGCGAACTCGTCCACGCTGATCGTCTGCGCGAAGTGGTCCCAGGCCGCGAACATCTCCACGGGCGCTCACAAGGCCGTCAGTTGCCTCCGGGCGGGAGTCATAGGAGTGCAGTCCTTCAGGAACAAGGATAACCGCGGGGGGCAAGCTGAAAGCGCTGCAGGACCCGTGGGAGGCTGTCGGGTGCTTGATCCTGGAAGAGGTGAGCATGATCTCGCCTTACCTGTACAACATGCTGGCATTCCGGTCCTGCCTGGGGCGCAAGGCCGAGCGGGGCGCGGAGGAGCGGGAGTGCGACCAGGTCGGCGGCGCCTTCGGCCGCATGCCCATCGTGATCCACCTGGGGGACTTCCTGCAGCTGAAGCCGACGGGAGGCAAAGTGTCCCTCACCTTCAGCTTCGAGCTCCAGGCGTCCAACCGCTTCAAGGACCCGAAACTCAGGGACCTCATGGCGTTCCTGCGCAAGCCGGGGAAGCAGGTCCCGCCGGTCATCCGGGCCACGTGGGACGCCATGCAGCTGAAACCCGATGATCGTAGACTCCGGGAGGAAAGGTTCCAGAACGGCCACATGATTGGGTCCTACTGGGACAACGTGGCGCGCTGGATGAATATGCGAGCCCAGCGGGACGCGGACGTCCTGAAGAAGCCCCTCTTCCTCGTGCAGGCCGCCGACAGATCTGCCCCGACGATGAGCAGGAAGGACGCCGCCAAGATGATGAACTGTGCCAATCCGAAGAACACCGGTGGCATGCACGGACTGCTCCCGGTGCACGTGGGCATGCGGATCCGGCTCCTGGAGGCGCTGGGCCTCGAAAGCGGCCTCGTCAAGGATGCCGAGGGGCAGATCGTGCACGTCGTCGTGGGCCCTCGGGATCGTGGCGACGTCGAGAGGGCCGAGAGAGACGGGGAGAATATGATCTATCTGACGCACTTGCCGCTGGGGTTCCGGGTGTGCATGGAGAAGTACGCGAGCGCGCCCTTCGTGGGCGACCTGAAGCGCCACGACGACACCCTCACAAGGGACCTGACGGGCCCGCTGGTGTTCATCGAGCCTCGCACGTCGGAGCCGTTCACGTTCAGCACCTCCAAGGTCACCCGGACGGGCTTCCCGTTCTCGCACGGCAGGGTCATCACCACGGTGGCGTGCCAGGGGCGCGCCATGCGAGAAGGCGACGGGGCGGGGGAACAGCGCCCCCCCAGGCAGTCCACGGCCAAACCTCCTGGGCACGGACGATCCGCAGCCATGCCTTTTTTGGTTATGTGGATTCTCGCCTTGGGCCGTTGGCTGCCCCACGCGCTGCCCCCTCGGCCGACGTCGCCCAGGCGTGATCCTGGACTGCGGCCGCTGCGAGATCGGGAACGGCAAGAAGGACGAGGACGACTGGTGGCTGGAGCTTTACGTGCTGCTCTCGCGCGCCACGCGCCACGAGGACCTCCTGCTCATGCGGGCGCCGCGCATCGAGTTCTTCCTGGCGGGGCCGCCGGCGGGCTTGCGGAAGCAATTGGAGCAGTTTGCTGCGCGCGCGAAACGGTGCAGGATGGGGGCCGCGACCCTCGCCAAGGAGCTGGGCTTCACCGAGTTTATCCGCGAGGCATGACCTGGGGAGCGGCCTGCCCGAGCCGCGGCATATCCAGGCTGTCCCACAATTCGGCCGGGCGCCGCGGACGACCCGTGCGCGTCGCTGGGACCCTCTCGGGGCGACCAGCGTGCTTCGCGGGGACTCCGTGCTGCGCACTGCCCAGCGCCTCGTTCGCCCGTCGTCGCTCTGCCTGGCGCCCAGAGCCTTGCCCGCTCCCAACCAGCCAGCTAGCTCACTTTGCTCCGCGCAGCGGACGATCCGCGTGCGTTGCTGGGACCCCTTCGGGGCGACCAGCGCGCGTCGCGGGGACTCCGTGCTGCGCTGCGCCCGCAGCCTTGGGCACTGGAATGCGCGGGCAAAGAGGGAGAAAACGAGCGGCAGGAAGCGGGGGTGATCCACGCGAGGGGGGGTGCCGATATGGGCGTCGGCATTCATCCATCCACGTAGACTCCCCCGCACGCAAATTCATGCACAATCAGACCCACTCGTGCTCAGACTCACCCGCTCTCAGGCTCTCGTTATCATACCAATCGTCTTCTTCCGCGTTGCGTTCCCCGCCATACATCGGCACACCCCTCACGCGGTTCTTGGCCGCATAGGGAGCTCCACCGAAGACGAGATTCACAATTGCGGCGCTCTCAGCTGCGTATGGTTGGGTCTTTCGCCAGGCTAATTTTTTTCGACCCCCGCGCTCTGGCCTCGTAGTGACACCGCCGTGACGCCTGGACACAACCACGCACATACACACATTAAAACACATGCACAAGACAGGAGGAGGAGGAGGAGGAGGAGGAGGAGGAGGAGGAGGAGGAGGAGGAGGAGGAGGAGGAGAGGAACACAAATGTTCAACAGGCACAGCAAAGAGCGCAGGAACAAAGACAGCACGTGCACGACGATGGCGATGCAGGCCATGTATACCAGCTCGACGATCCAGGAGAGCGAGCCGATCGCGGTGTACGAATCCTCCAGACGCTTCCAAGGCACGAGGCGCGCCCGCGAGAGACACATCCCCACCAATCATACCATCCCGCAACAAAAACTTCTCGAGGATGCCGCGGGGCCCGGCCCGAGCGAAAACACAAGTGTCTGACTCGTCGACAGCAAGCAACGCGTCCTGTACGAAATGAACAGAATCATGCGCATGGCTCCTCGTCGGGCCCGAAGGCGTCGCAGCGCTCTTCTCCACAGGGCCGTCCATGGCGGGGAGAGGCTCCCCGTCGATGAGAAGCCGATGGGCAATCATACCCCGCAGGGGCCCTTCCAGCGCCGCCGCCGTGGACACCTCGGGAAATCGGAACCGCACGAGAACTGCACCTCCCTGTCTACCTCGACGGGGTCCCACACGCCAGGGGTAATCAGCGAGAGCGAGAGCGAGGCCGACTCCGACCACTGCGCCGTAGGAACAAATACAGGGGCGTCGGGATTGGAAGATCAACGCGATGTGGTCCAAATCCTGGCACGCGGCTCCAGGCCGCACCGCTTCTGCGTGTACTTGGGGTCGCTCTCGCTGGAATCGGCTACCGTGCGCTACGCCGCGTCCGCATGCAGCGCAAAATTGCGGCGCAGCGCGCTCAACTTAGGCTTCTCCCTGGAATGACGCAAGTCCAGTCAGAGCAAGGGCCAAGGCGAGCAACCTGTCGGAGAGCTCGGGGTCGCCTGGGCCTCGACCGCCTCACACTGGCTACGAAGACGCTCCACTTCCTGCGGCAGGTCGGAGGATGGCACGATCAGCGGAGGCTTTTGCCCAGTCCCGACGCTTCTTGCGGTCGAACGAATCGCGACGAAGTGAGCTCGCAACACGCGAGCTCTCCCGTAGATCAATTCCCTCCAGCAGCGCCCCGCCAGCAGCTCCGGGCCAAGCAACGCCAGCTTGAGCCGATGGGGGTTCGCCCGCTGTGGGCGGCTGAGCCAAACTGGCTACGCAGGGGAAAAAAGACAAGGACGAAATAAATAAACCCACGTCCTGTGGGTCATCGCCAACCGACTCCGGTGTGTCTGGGCGCCCATCTGGCAGCAAACGCGCTCCCAGAGTGTTTGTTTAGTGGCGGCACAACGCAATACATTATAAAAGACATTGGGCGACGAACGCGGACGACAACGAGGAAGAAGGCAGGGTGACAGGAGAAGAGAAAGAGCATCATATCAGCTATGCCACATGGCAGGAACGAGTGTTGCCACGTGGGAATGTGCAACACACTGCTGGCAAACGGCTTCCCGCACGGTCGAAATTGCCCCGTGGGGTGCGGCAGTGGAAGCCGCGTAATTGCAATACGCGGACAGGGCCCGGCGAGCGGTAACGTTCGCTGGGTCCTAGGACCGTGACAAGAACGAGAAAAGTGAGAGAAACAAGGTGGGAGAAAAACCAATGCGAGATACGCTCAGCGGAAGGAGGGGTGGCTGACCCGTGCCGCTGGCTCCCGAACTCCGCGCCCCCGGGGGGCAGCGGACGTGATGCTCCACGCTGTCATCACCGTGTAGCCCGACCGATGCTCAATGCTCGGACGACCGATGCCTACGCCCGCGGGGGCACCAGGGGCACCAGGCCGCGTAGCGCGAACGTTGCGCGCTCCAGGCGGAACCCTTGGAATGAGGAGAGACGGGGGCGAGCGAGGCGGCAGTTGAGGTGGCAAGTGGCACCCTGTTGTCGCAGCAACGCAGTACTTCAACAACACGTCTGCTTGACGGACTAATGGCCGAAGAACCCTACACCAAGTTTTACGCTCACTCTTCGGCATCGACTCCCGTGCGCTTCCCAAGAACAAGGCCACAACCGACACTCCAGCATCTACAGCGCGTCGTTCAAGATGCCCACGCGCGAGACCTGTATCTGTGAAACAATTCTAGCGGTACCGCTTGATCCACGCAACCGAGCCGTCCGGATATCTGAATCCAGCTGGAGTGCATCCATCATCCGAAGACGACGGGCCTCAAAACCCGCCAAGATGCGCAAAATTTTACCAGCGGTGTACCAATCACCTCGCTGGGGGCGCCGTGATTGTTGCATCGGGCAACTCCGCGTGGAACCCCAACGACTGCAAGCTCTGGAACACCGTTAGTGCAACAGCGAGGGCTCAGGAAGAAGACGACGCACGCCTGCTGCTCCACGGTGTCCCAAGTAGAAGGTGCTTGATGCAGCTCCAAGAGGAATGAGAGCACGCTGAGCACGGGGAACATGTAGGTGCGAAAGGCCAGGAGAGTAAGCAACATGCCGCAACCGATGCCCCGCAACTTTTTTCGTCGGCGGCGAGGCGGACGCGATTCGCACCAGCGTGGGGCTAAACGGGGGCACCGAAAATCAAATTGACTGGCGTGCAGGAGAGAGGAAGAGGAAGAAGGAACCGCCGCGGGGGGGGGAAAGAAGGAGGCGCTCAGATGTGGAAGAGTTCCAAGTCGAGTTGGCCGGTGCGGCTGGCCAAGGCGGCGGGGCCGTGGTAGTGACCAGGGCAGGACCCGGGCACACCCGCGGGTGCCAGCCAGGGCTGCAGGCGCGCAGCGGAAAGCAAGGGGAACAGTACAGGGCGCCCGAGGACAGCGACGAACAAAATGCTGTCGATATTTGTTCGTTAAATCGTGCGATGCTGGTCGCACTCGTGCAACTGGAAGCCGGAGGCTCGGCAGGGCGTCCTGGGCGGCGGCGCGGCGGCGCGGGGGGCAGCGGCTGGGCCAATGGAGCGGCTGCGGGCGGAGCGGCGCCATGGCGGTGCGAGCTGAGGGAGAAGCAGGAGGGCGGGCGAAGGAGGGAGAAGAGGGGTGCCGATCCACTGGAGCCCGCACACAATGGGCGGGGCGGCGGCGGCGGCCCGCCAAGCGGCGCGGGCAGCGGCCTCACCAGGGGCACTGAAGGGCCCCCATCGATGCCCTCCCTGCCGCACCCTGGCCCGGGAAGTGAACTTCTCCAACAGCTCGGTCTGGTGGTAATGGGGGGTGACCTGAATGGGGGGTGAAGAAAAGGGCCCCGAAAGGGCCCTGTAGGGCCCCTCCTGGAGCCAGCAGGGGCCCAAAGGGCCCACTAAGGTCATTTCTTCACCCCAAATTTAGGCCATCCCCCATCACCACCCGCCCGAACGGCTGCGTCCACGAATGTTCGGTGAATTCTGGGCTGGTCACGAAGCCCAAGCAGATTGCGTGTCGGCGGATGGTCACGTCACTCCTGCTGGGCGCGGCCGCCTCGAGGCGCGTGCGCAAGTGGTTGAGCAACTCCAGCGACAGAAGGACCCAAACAGACTTGGCATGGCGGAGCCGCAATGCCGACAACCGCTCGTAGTCGTCGAACATATCCTCTAGAATGAAGGCGCCCCCCCACCCCGCGGACAAGGCAGACAGACATGCTGTCGGCGCAGGTTGTCAGCGGTTCTCAACGGTGACCTCGCGATTGTCCCACCCGTTCTACCCGAGAGGTCTACCAATCGGAGCGCGATCGAGCCCGTGTGACATCCCCTGGTCGGCTCCACTTGGGAGGTCCGGAAGTGGTGACTGCCAGATCTCGGCGGCCAGTTCATGCCATACCCCCTGTTCGACCCCCTGGCGAGGCCCAGATGCGGTGCCTGCGAGCTCGCGGTAGCCATGAAGCTCTGAAGAGGGGAGACACGTCCGCCGTTCCGAGCGGTCGCTCTACCCGAGAAGCCCCATACATCTGGGCGCGCCCAGGCCTGCGCCATACCCCTATATGGTCGGTCCTTCTCGCGAGGCCCAAGTGCGGTGCCCACGAGCTCGAAGAGGTCACGAAGCCCCGAAGGAGGAAAATGCTCATCCCCCCAAACTGGCGTTCGAACTGTCCCACCAATCTGAGCGCGCACGGGCCCGCGTCATCCCTTGTGGTCGGCCCCACCTAGAAGACAAGCGTGCGGTGCCTGCCAAATCGTGGTAACCATGAAGCTCTGGAACAATTGACACTTCCATCGTCCAGAACGGGATAGTTCTACCATCGGAACCATTGCAATCGGGGCGCGCACGGGCTCCCTCTGTACTCCCTGGTCGGTGCCCTGCGAGGCCCAGCGTGGTGCCTGCTGGCACGCGGTGTCAAGTATGAGTGAATAGGAGTACGCGTGCGTCTGCGTGACGAGCGAATCTGGCTGAGCATGGGAGGGTCTGTGTACAGGTGAGTGTGAGTGAGTCTGGATGCGAGCGTGTGTCTGAATATGGGCAAGCCTGAGGTCAAGGGAGCCTGATTGTTGTGAGGGTCTGAGTGAGTACGAGAGTTACTGGGACTGGTTGAGGAACAATGTGAGCACGAGTGACGAGGTATGATTCCATGTTGGTATGATGGAATATTCCTGTGATCAAGTCTGAATATGAGTGACTGAATATGAATGGGTGTGAATGTGAGTGATAAGGAAAATGAGCGACTGAGCTCGAGTAGCTCTGAGCTTCAGTGAGTCCAAGTATATGTGGCTAAATGCAAGTGAACATGAGTGTACGAGTGATGGAGGGTGGAAGAAGGTGGGAGAGAAGAGTGAGAACGAGCGCGGCGGAGATGGGACACGAACTAGCGACAGTAGCCCCGTACTTCAGGTCGGAGGGTAGTCCGCAAACGAATTCGGATACATAAGGCCCGGGACATGGCGGATACATACACATCCGAATATGAGAGATCATATCAAAATCACGGGGCATTCAAATGACAATCTGAAACACATTCCGACTCACCATCTACATGACTTTCCCCAATCAATCTCCGGTCCTCTATAGTCGTGGGCAAACGAACTCTTTCGTCAATCTCTCAGACTACGGCTCGCAAATCCACTCCCTCCCTGTCTTCTGTTATCCCCACCCTTCCCACCAAATAATTCTGCTGCTTGCGCCAATTCGCGGTGTTGTGGTACGGCATGTCCATCTCCCATGTTTCACACACGCCCGTGAAACAGCATCATCATCGCCATCATCACCATCATCATCATCACCAACCACCATGATTACCATAATCATCAGGTTCAAGCTCATCAATTTACCATGATGGCTATCCTCATGCCAACTCTGAATCCACCCTTGATTCACGGGGCGTTTTTCCCCACAACTTGAAAAAAAAACGGTCGCACGAGGGGGCGAGTCCTTTATGGCAGCCCCCAACCCACGAACAAATGCTGCTCCTCTGCATGTCACATACGGAATTCGCCCGTCGAAACTGAAATTATTGGGTAGGGTGTCAAGTTGCCAACCCAACTCCGGTCTGACATCGGAGAGCCAAAGGTGAAATGCACACCATTTCGACGACGGTGCTTAGCCAGGTGGGGGAATGGAAGAGGGCGCACACGGCTCCTCTTCTAGGCAACTGGCAGCGTGGTGGCCGCCAAAGGCAGGAGGGGATAAGGACTGCGTAATTGCGGCAGAATCACATTGGCCGTGCAAGCCTTCTTTTTTCTGTCCACAAGATTGAAAGCTTAGAAATATCCTCAACTCGAACCCACGCGGTGGAGATGGCTAGGACACCTGTAATGGTAAAGAACCTGCGTGGGAACCGCATTATGACACTCAAAACTTTCAGGACCAACCACCTTTCCAATCGGTGATAAGCTTAGAACCTGTCAGCGCCAAAATCTGATGGCGCCCGAACGTCCTGATCTCGCCTGGAACGACGTCCGTGTACTGGAGAATGGATTCTGGCAGGACTCGGTCACGTACCTCGCTCGCAGGAGCTCTTCCGTTGCCTGCCTGGCAATACCCCCCAAAATGAGAACGCTCTGCTCGCATCATCGCCCTCTTGGCACTCCTCGTCCGACTGAAGATCCGAAGCGCCGCGTGTATGGGCGGGCAGGCACGGGAACGGTAGAACTCCAAGATGTGGGAACGGGATACAGGGAGGCGAAGGGAGAGATAGAGGAAGAGAGTACGTTCGTAAGTGATCAGGAGAGAAAAAAGGTGCGAGGGAATGTTGGGGAGGGCCAGGGAGTGAGGCGGGAGGGCGAACAAGGACTGCTTGGGCTCGACGTGGGACAGATGCAGGAAAAGACGAGAACTGCCATGAACGAGCCAGGTCCTGAGCGAAACGGGTACTGACCCTGGGCCTTCCTCCCGAGACCTGCTTTTCATGGTGAATTTTTCTCCGGAAAGGGCCCTGCGAGCTGGAAAGCGGTGAGACTCCCCCAGGACTCCGGTCCCGCAGGGCATCGTTTTGCCATGGCGACCCCGAAAAAGTCGCCCGGGCCCCCAGACCTCTTTTCGGGTGCGTTCTGGCTATGCCTTCCTAGGGCGTCCGGCTGTGGCGACGAGGAGCCTCCCCGAGGCCCGAAGAGACCCAAAACGTCCCGAGACGTTGGCCCTCGAACCTCGAACTCTTCTTCTCGAGGAGGGGAGGATGGAGGGCACGGGGGGTGGATGAGGGGACCGTGGCGGGGGAGCGGCGGGGCCGTATCCAGCCCCGCCGAGCAGCCGGTGAGCAACACGCAACACGCCGCAAGGATGCCGGCGACCAGGAAGCCTCTCGGGACCTCTCGCGAGGAGAGCATAATGATGACGACGATGGCGATGCTGCTGATGATGCTGATGATGATGATGATGATGCTGGTGATGATGATGTTGCCGATGATGAGGATGATGACGAAGATGACGACGATGATGATGGTGATGATGATTATGATGATGCCTATGATGATTGTGATGATGACGGTAATGATGGAGACGAACCTGATTATACATGTGACAATGGAGATGGTGGTGATGATGCGGATGTTAATGCTGATGCTGATGATGATACTGATGATGACGACGCTGATGCTGATTATGATGCACATGCTGACGATGTTGATGATGATGCTGCTGATGCTGATGACGATGGTAATGATGATGTTGATGATGATGTTGATGATGATGCTGATGATGATGCTGATGATGATGCTAATTCTGATGATGATGGATGATGATGCTGATGATGAAGATAATGATAATCGCAACTTTGACGATGATGACGATGATGATGCTGCTGATGATGCTGATTGTGATGCTGATGGTGATGGTGAAGAAGAATCTGATGATACATGTGACGATTGTGATAATGGCGTTGATGAGGATGACGATGATGATGGCGATGATGCTGATGCTGATGCTGCTGATGATGGTGCTGATGATGACGAGGAGGACGACGACGATGATGAGCATGATGATGAGGATGATGATGATGGTGATGATTCTGCAGATGATGATAGTGAAGCTGGCGATGATGCTGCCGCTGATGATGCTGAGGATGATGGTGGGGATGATGGTGATGATGACGACAATGATGCTGCCGATGATGATGCTGATGATGACGATGATGCTGATGCTGATGTTGTTGATGGTGATGATGATGACGATGGTGAGGATGATGATTATGATGATGATGCTCATAAGGAGGATGATGAGGATGCTGATGATGACGATGATGCTGATGCTGATGCTGTTGATGAGGATGATGACGATGCTGATGAAAATAGTGATGATGATGCTGATGATGATGGTAACGATGATGCTGATGATGATGCTGCTGGTGATGATGATGATGATGATGCTGCTGATGATGATGATGACGATGACGAGGAGGAAGAGGAGGATGAGGAGGAGGAGGAGGAGGAGGGCACAGGACGCAGGCCGAGGATCAGAAAAACGGGTGACGCCTTCGCATATGGATCTGCCCGCCCCCCGATGGGGGCAAAGGCGGTGGATGCGGGGCGGTAGCCTCCCGAATTCGCAAGAAGAGGCGCTCCCAGACGGTCTCCAGGGGCGGGGCGATGGCCTTGCGGCTGGCCTCGGATGTCGGGGCGACCGTCTCCCACGCTGCGCGCAGGCTCGCGGCCCTACCGAACTGCACCGCCAGCTCGCCGAGAACGGCTGCCGAAGATCAACGATCCGCTGCCGCACTGGGGCCCTTCGCACCAGTAGCCACCGCTGCAACCGAAGCCGCGGGCCCAGCAACAAGCCTAGCCAGCAGCAAGCTCCGGGAACGGCGCCTCCAACGCCGTGGCCTTCTTCTTGCACCGCCGCCGCGCGGCAAGCAACAATCAGCCCTCTCGTCGTTGATGTCCGAGTCCGCTCCGCCTGGCGCAGGCTGCCCTAAAGGTCGCAACCTGCTCCTCGGGCACCTCTAGCACCCGCTGTCCGCCGCCTCCGCGCCCAGCACGGGCTGCCGCAGGCGCCGCACCGCGCTCTTCCACCCGCCGAGCGCGAGGCGCTGGCGGCGGAGACGGCGGCGCTGCCCCGTGGCAACTGGGGCCGTCCGCTGAGGCGAAGCGTCGCGCACATCTGCAACGATGCCGCGAAGAGCCTTGGCTCCCACAGCCCGCTCTTCAGGGCGCGGCCGACAGAGCCGAGCGGGCAATGGCGATCACCATGCGCCGAGGAGCGCTCGTAGCAGTGGCTCCGCGCACCGCCGCGCTCCCAGAAGGACGCGACATCGCAGGCCACCCACGCCTACTCTAGGCGCCACCATGCCGCCGCCTGGCAGCAAGACAACGGCCCTGCGATCGCTTGAGCCAAAACGGCTACGGATGAGGAGAGGGGATGAAGCGGGAGGGGAGGAGGTAGGAGGTGGGATGGGAGGAAGAGGAGGAGGAAGAGGAGGAGGAGGGGAAGGAGGAGGAGGAGGAGGAGGACGAGGAGGATGATGATGAGGAGGAAGAGTTGAAGACGTTCATGCCACCAGCAACCAGGAACCAGCAGGAGGAGGAAGAGGAGGACGAGGAGGAGGACAGTGGGGATAAGAACTAGGACGGGGAGGACAAGGAAGAGGAATGATACGGAGGGGGAAAAAGAGGAGGAGGAGGAAGAAGAGGAGGAGGAAGAGGAGTAGGATGATGATGATGATGATGATGATGAGGAGGTGGAGGAGGAGTAGGAGGAGGAATAGGAGGAATAGGATGAGGATAATGATGAAACCACCCGTAATGCTTGCCACCACCCTCTCTCCTACTCCTTCCCTGCAAAGCCAAGGGCAACACTCTGACAGGCCATAAGACGTGTACAATACACCCGTGACTTGCCGATGCTTGGTCAGTGCAACGGCTTCCGCGGTGTCAAAGACTCGGAGCAAAACAGCCCGAGACATAGGGCCAACTTAATTCTGATGTCACCCCCCGTCCTCTCCAGGAGGAGGGCGACGACGACGATGATGATGATGCTGGTGATGGTGATGATGATGACGACGATGACGACGATGATGATGATGATGATGATGATGATGATGATGATGATGATGATGATGTTGATGATGATGATGATGATGATGATGATGATGATGATGATGATGATGATAGGCTGAGGAGGAGGAGGAGGAGGAGAGCAGAGGAGGAGAGGACAGGATACAAGAGGAAGACATCGGGGAGGACGAGGGGCCATGCAAAGAACACGTAGCACCCGCCTGCTCCTCCGCGTCTCGGGGTTCCCCCCCTCCGTCCCCTGCCCTTCCGTCCCCGACCCGCTCTCTGCCCGACCTACGCCCCCCCCCCCCCTCTCTTCGCCTTGCTTTCGCCTTCCTTCCCCGGCCGCCCCTGCCTTACCTTCGGAGGCTACTAAAGGTGCCCCTGGCCCAAGAAACCCACAGCTCAGCTCTCTTTTCGAGCCCCTGGGGCCCGCTGGGCCTCGTGAGGGGGTGCTCTGGAGGCCGTGGGGGGGCCTCCCAGAAAATCCCGTGGGCACCTCGGGCCAGAGGCACCTCTGGCAACACCCGTCGTGCCGTTTGCCTCAGCCAGAACCGTTGGGGCGCCTTCGCTTCCTTTCCCGCTTCCCGCCCCTCCCCCTCCGATCGAAGACGAAACGGATACATTATTTGATTCGCGGGTCGAGAGCGCACCTCTTCCGGTCGAAGCATGAAACGGATACATGTTCACGCCGGGTTGATCTTGACACTCCCGCGCCCTCCCAACAGCAGCCTGGAGCGTGGCGAGAATGAGCGGCAGGGCCGGAGGACACCTGGAGAGTCGAATAGTTACGTAGTGTTGGAATGCCGATTGAGCTGTTACTCGCATCTGCTTCGCTCGCAAGTGTCTCGTGTGCGTGAAGATATGTGCTCGCGCAAGGATCGACTGGGCGGTTCAGTAGCTGATCCTACACGAATTCTTCGGTCGCTGAGCGGATGCCCATGGGCACCGAAGCATCCACGCAGACAATCAAATCTATGGCGTACGATAGCGCGACGGGCGACTAACGCTGTACCCGAAAACGTGCAACCACGAATGTACGGATGGGTAGTGGGGGAATGGGGAGGGTACGGGATAGTTTATATGTGTATGTACATATTTACATGTATAAACATCTGACAGAGAGAGATAAGTAAAGAGAGAGAGAGAAAGAGAGAGAAAACAAAAACCGGGACGGAAGAGGAGGGAAGAGGGGGTGCGGGAGGCAGGACAAGAAACTTATCTTCCTCCCTCCTGCTCCTTCCTCCCTCCTCCATCCCCTGCCTCCCCCCCCTCTCACCCGGTCTCCAAATCCAGCCTCCCCCGTCCCTACCTCCCTCCGACTGCACTCCCCCTCCCCCCTCCCTCTCCCCTCCCTCTCCCTAGCCCTCCCTCTCCCTCTCCAATCTCGGCTCGAGTACCCTCGGGTGCAGGTGTAGACACAGACTCGAAGCGCCCAGCACTTCCGTTGCACGCATCGCGATATTGGACACCCGCCAATCCAACATATGACTGATTCGAATCACATCCCTACAAGTCCGCGAGCGCGCCATGGCTCCGAAAGGCCCACGCCGTGCGAACCCTGCACCAGCGCAGCCCAAGCCACAAGGTAAGGGCCGCCCAAAGGCTACCTAAAGGGATCGACAAGATGCCAACCTGAGTCGAAAGGAAGCTGGCATCGCCGCACTCCGGAGCAGTGGTGGCGCTGACCGAGCAGTCGCTGCATGCAACGAGTTGGTTCACAAACACCAGATCGATCCCGACAACAAATGCCAAACACACTGCGCCGACCAGCGCAAGCTCAGGGGCGAACTAGCCAAGTTGTGTGGGAAGAGCAAGATCAATTACACCATGCTGCGCTAATCCGTCCTGGGCGCCGCGCGTCGCTCGACGAGACTGCCCTCTTCCACCGGGGTTCTGGTCAGTCGCCCTGGCAAAGTTGTCGGTTGGGCCGTGGGCCAACAGCTCCACCGCCAGGTGGCCGCCCTCCAGCTATGCTGGCACCCGCTGCGAGCCCGCCGCCAGGTGGAGCTGGTTGGGAGCTGCATCAACGTTGCCCCTGCAGACGACGCCCACTTGAACCTTGAGGCCGCCGCCGACGCCAGGGCGCGTCGGGCAGTCGCCGGACTCCCGCGTGTCGGGCGGGCCCGGAAGGCGCCCAGGCGTGGGCTCGATCAGCGAGGTCCCTGGGCGCCACCATGTGCGCCGCTGGCATCGACGTCCACGCGCCTGGTTAAAGAGCGAGAAACCCGTGCAACAACTCGGCGCTTGCCGCCAAAATGCTGAAAATCAATTCCTGGATCTGACAATCGGGCCCCCCGCGCTCTCGTTTTTCCTGGGCGCGCCGTCAATCGCGGCGCCGTCGCGCAAAACGGGTTTCGCTCGGGCAGAGAAGGCAAGTGCGGCGAGCCACCGGTCAACGCGCCGAAGCCCTTGAGCTGCGCGATCACGCGCGGGTCTCCCAAGGAGACGGCCCAGCGGGTTGAGATTGGCATGCCTTTGCCCATCTCGAACGGGGCTGGCCAGCGTACGACGCAATGTGTGATGACAAGGGCGCCCGCCTGTCACGGCTCAAACGGCCGGCGGGGTCGTTCGCGCGTGTGCTCCGCGCGTCGCAGAGATTGTCTTTCCTGCGGCGCAATCCCACCACTGGGCGCGACCTGGGCGCCGTCGCTGATGTCAAACCGGTTCTTGACTACTTTGCCAATTGGTGGCTGCTCAGAACGACGAGCATGGCCGCGTGCGCCACGTGGCAGGCCGGCCTCCCTCGCAATTGCCTTTTGCAGTTGTGGCCACGCCTAGCGGGCCCATCTCCTCTGCGCAGCTGGTGCAACCAAGAAAAAGGAAACCAAGGGGGCACCGCCTGGACATCCCCGTGCTGGGAATCCGAGAGGACTGTTCTGAAAGCCATGATCGCTGAACCACATCGGCATCGGCGGGACCTGCTGCCAGGCGCCAGACGCCGCTGCCTTCTTGGGCGAGATCCCCAACTTCTTGAGATCCAAGCTGCCCTTGCCGAGGACGAGCTCCCAAAGCCCATGCCGCGGCCGTCGCCTGAGGGCTCGAGCGACGACGCCTACGAGGAGTATGCTGACGATGCCAGGGCCCGATGAATGCGCGGAGCCACTGATGGGGCCTGCTCGCGCCAGGCCCACCCGCTCCTCGCCATGGCCTGTTTCAGAATATACTCTGGTCCACGTCACTGGCTCTACCACTCAGCTCGTGTGCGCGGTATGGCGCAGCCTGCTCAGATGGCCGACGCTCTGGCCATGCCCATCTCGTCGACGCGGATGAGGCGCCCGCTCGCATTTTCGTTGACGACCTAGCTGTCGGTGACGGATTCGACGACCTCCTCACCAGTGAACCGCCACAACGCGTAGGTGCCCAGGCCGACCTTCGGCAAATACCCACCGTGTCCTCAAGGCCAAACTGGATATTTTCAAAATCCGCACGGTAGAAACTCACCCGGGCGAGCAAAGCATCCACGAGGTGTGTATCGCGCCGATTGCGGGCCTTCAACTGTCACGCAAAGGAGCCTACCACGGCTGGCGCACGCCTGCGCAGCGTATTTCAACTCGAGGTCGCATCGGCGCTGCCACATGGCGGCGTGTAATTCGCGGCTGTTCTTCGCAGCATGGCTGTCGCTATTTATGACCGTCGTCACCTGACGCTTCCCTTGCCAGAAAAGAGCGGGCTATTCAAGGGCTCAACTGAGCAATATGAAGCCCAATCGACCCACCACTGGCCAAGACGACCATGAGCCACCAGGCTAAAAAAAATACGGCCCCGCTCATCCCGACCGCCCACCAAAGCCCGACTCCTTCGATCACCCTGGTGGTCCATGGGCGGGCCTGCTTGACGACTTCGACTGAGAGGAACAAGACCCGCTAGGGCTCGGGGCCTCCCTGGCTAAACACGAAAGTGACGACCCCCTTCTCAATGTCACAACAGAGACAATCGCAGCGATCCCGACGATCACCGCGACGCGAGCCAGCCAAAACTCTCCGACGGCCAGGCGCAAGCCGCTCATGGTCCACAGGATCAGGCCGTCACCACCTGGCCCCCTCACGAGGCCACCTCCTCCTCCCACCAGGGCAAAGGGAGCGGCGAGCGGACCGTAGCCAATCCCTCACGCAGCACCCCTTCGCGGCCAGTCGACAGCCTGAGGGTGACCGCGAAACGGTCTCTATCGATAGCGTCAACGGGCTGCAACAAAGGGCCTGGCACCTTGCCCGATCACATCCAGGAGCAGCCAGCCCACAACTCGATACATTCCACCGAGCACAAACTGCCTGGGACGGCAACCGGCAGGCTTTCCGACCTGCCGCTTCCCTCGGGGCGTCCCCCCAAGACAGCCTTCAAACTTTCCTTGATGCCCACCTCGAGGCACACCAATGCTAGCGCCCCTCCTCCCACAGTGGGCTCCGCGAACAACTGGCACCTGTTCCGTTGCCCTCTCATTGGGCCGCCGTGGGGGATGCCCCAAGGTGTCGCCGTCACTTTGGGCGCTGCATCACGCATGCCAAAGCCTGTGTACAACCGGCGTCCACTTCCTGTCTTTGCTTTCTAGCCAGGGTCCCTCCAGATCGCGACAGGGGGAGGGTAGTTTTCCAACCCCTGCTTCTCAAGCGGCACCGCCCGCCATAAGAGGTGGGCGCGGCGGGCGCTAGTAGCCCGAGCGTCCAGATCCTTCTCCCTTTCCCTCTCCCTCTCTCCCTCTCCCCCTCCCTCTCCCTCTCCCTTTCTCTCTCCCTGTCCTTCTCCCTCTCCCTCCCTCCCTGCCTCCCTCCTCCTCCTCGTCTTCCTCCTCGTCGTCCTTTCTTTTTCCTCGTGAACAACTCCTCCCTGTCGTACCCCGAAGCCAGTCGGAAGGGCGGGCTGGGCATTTCGCATGAGACTTCCTTACCATTCATGAGCTTGAAGACTAGCTGACAACAGTTTCACATATGGAGGGCGGGCCTTTTTCAACATGTAGCTCTCGCCTTAGCGCCGCGCGCACTCGTCTCAAAACATTGCAAGCAATTTAACGAATTGAAGGCGGGTCGTTTTCAAAATGTGGCTCTCGCTTCAGCGCCGCGCACATTCGTGTCAAACATTTGCAACAGTTTCACGGACTGGGGACAGGTCATTTTCAAAATGTGGTTGTCGCCTTAGCGCCGCGCACATTAGCTTTTGAAGCAAACGTTACACGGATTGAAGGCGGTTCGTATTCAACATGTGGCTCTCGCCATAGCGCCGCGCGCATTCTTTTTAACAAGTTGCAGCAGTTCACGCCTTGAGGGCGGCTCCTTTTCAACATGTAGCTATTGCCTTAGAGCCGCGCGCATTCATTTTACGAGTTCCTAGAGTGTCACGGGTTCTCACGGTTAATATTCCAGAGATGGTGCTTTGGAGCGATGCAGGCTTGTCAGGGCGCGGCACTTACGTTGATTCGCGGTGTTGAAGTCCTAGGAACGGTGTTCTGGCACGATTCAGGATCGTCAAGACGAGACGCAACAATCAGGTTGACTCGTGGCGTTGAGATCCTGAAAATCGTGTTTTGGCACGCGTCAGGATTTTCGCACGGTTGTCCCCGAACGGCGCACTTCCCTCAGAGGAAATGAACCCTGACAGGGGCCTACGAAGAGGTGTATTCCAACGTCGTTGATGGGTTTTGGGTTTACACTGGTCCTCGTCCTCCTCCTCGTCTTCCTCCTCCATCCCCCCCTGCCGCGCAGGAGTGGGAGGGGACGGCGGGGGGAGGGCGGTGGGGGATGGGCGACGCGCCCATGCCGCCGATGCCCAGACTTTTGCCCCAGAGATCCTGGCCCCTCTTCCCCTGGGAGGAGAAGGAGGAGGCAGGCGGAGGAAGAGGAAGAGGTGAAGGAGGAATTGGGCGAGGACTGAAAAAGAGAATTGGGCGAGGAGGGAAAAATAGCCTTCCTGGAAGCCCTTCCTTCGTTCCGGGCTCCTTCTGGATGCAGCCCTGAGCCTGGGGCCGCGACGAACCTCCCTCCTCGTCTTGTCTCATGACGACCGAGGTCTGTGCTTCGCATCCGCTCCTCCGAGGCACCCCCCTCCGAGCCACGGCAAGGCCTTCGCGTGGCCGGCGCTGCCAGGGCTGCCCTCGGCGCTCGCCGCCAAGTGGAGGCCCTCCCCGCCCAGTCCCTCCGGGGGTGCGGCGGGCTGCTCTTGCGGTGCTTCTCGTCTCTGAGCCCTGCTGCTGCGCGTGCGTGCCTTCGCTGCCCCAGCAAGCCACACGCAACCCGCGGCGTGCTGTCATGGAGCTCAACACGGAGATCGGATACGTGCGTTTGGCGCGGTACGTTGGCCCAAACGTGGGCCAACACGCTGAGCCAACACGCACCGTGTTGACACAGACGTTTTGAACACGGTGCATATTGCGCTTCGAAACGGGCGTACCAGGGCAACTAAGGTGCGTGCTCCCGCCATTGCTGCAAGTGCTCCTGCTCGGCCTCGTCCTCTCGCTACCGCTTCCGCTGCGCCTCGTGTTCGGGCTCGCAAGTGCTCGCTGCTCCATCCCGCGCTGCGGCAGCTGGCCTCCCTCCTGCTTCGGCTCTCGCTCCGACGCAGCCCCCTCCTCTCCTCCTGCTTGCGCCTGCTTTTGCGGTGCAAAAGCTCAGACTACTAGATCGCAGCGTCTACGTATCCTGCTCCTTCTCCTTCGTCTTCTCCTTCGTCGTTTCCTCTTCCTGTACCTCCTCCTGGTCCCGAGAACAACAAAACGCAAAGCCATGACAAGATGCCTCCTTGTATCCTGACTGCGCGGTGCTCTTTCAGACGGCCTCGTCGTTGCGCAGTTTTGGATAGGAACATCTGGCGAATCATAATCGCATCGAAAAAAGGACGCCGCTCCAACGTTCCCTGGCGGTCTGTGAGGCCGGGCACGGCCTGCCTAATGTCTGCCAGGCAAACGCGGCCTGCCGTGCTGTTCAATCTGTGCCGTGGAAGGCCTCTTGAGCTACGAGCACGACGCTAGAGGACTTGGCTTCTTTGAAGGAGTGTGAGCCTGGCAGGGATGCCCCGAACACGCTCGCGAACATCTCCTCGGCCGACACACTGCTCAGAAGCCAGCCCTCAGGCAAGACAACTGCCACTCGCGCGAGTCCAGGACCGAGCCTGCCAGCGAGGTGTTCTCTCGTCAGCTGGTCGTACATATCTGCGAGACGAGAAGTGGTTCTGGCGTAGATTTGGTAGCGCTCCAGCCCGCCGAAGGTCACACGTACTATCGAGTCGCCATCGAAGGACGCCTGCATGAGCAATGCCTGCAACATCTGAGATGTGTAAGTCTAGCCTGCGACGAGCGCTGGGATGTCGAACTGGTCGTCATCATTACTGCCGCAGGCCACGACTGTGCTGTCGCACTTAAACAAGGCTATGTGGAATTGCCCAGAGGTGACGTGTGTGTAGGTCTGGTCTGAAACTAACTGTGGAATCTCGCACTGTCTGGAACCACTCTCGCCGGAAGCCACGGCCGTGCCGTCGCTCTTGAGGAGTACGGTGTGCAACCGTCCTGGCGCGATCTGCGTGTAGATACGGCCTCTGATCAGCGCAGGAAGATCGCACTGGTCATCAAAATTGCTGCCGCAAGCCACGGCAACGCCGTCGTTCGTAAGCAGGACTGTGTGGCGCTCTCCTGCAGCTACCTGCGTGTAGGTCTGGCCGAGGACTAGCACAGGAAGGTTGCACTGTCCATCCTCATAGCTGCCGCAGGCCACAGCAGCGCCGTGGTTCGTCAGCAAGACTGCGTGGCACCGTCCGGCGGCGACGCGCATACACATCTGGCCTGCGACCAGCACGGGAAAATCTCATTGGGCGTCCCTGTTCCAGCCACACAAGCCACAACCGTGCCGCGATTGTTTAACAAAACCGCGTGGCACTCTCCGGCGGAGACCCGCGTGTAGAGCTGGCCTGCGATCAACGCTGGAACATCGCATTGGCCGCAATCGCTGCTGCCACGGGTCGCGGCGGTGCCGTCGCTCGTCAGCAGGGCCGTGTGAAATCTCCAGAAACGACCATTGCAGCCCAGATCGGCCGTTTGGGGTCTTGGGTCTCAAGCGCGTCTCGCGGGGGCGGACCTCCGATCGGCAGGGGCCCGCGGTCGGCTTGGGCCAGAGAGCATGTTCGGAAGACCTCTGCAGGCTGACGATTCGTGGGCAAAACCTTCTGACCACCTCCAATGGATTCGGTGTTTGCTCGCACGGACCTTAGGGATCACGCCCCGAACGGGCCCTCTAGCATGACCGGGTCAGATCTACAGGCGGTCTCGATGAGTAGGCCGACCCTGCCAAGTCAAAGGTACCCTCGTGTCCTGTCTCAAGAGACCCGTGCCTTCCACATTCTTATAGCAATGTAGCCCTCGGAAGGGTCTTGTGTCCTCTCGCGCTCTCGCGTGTCCTCTCCAATCAAGCCTGACTGTATGTTTTCCACCCACCTGGCCCCTGAGCACGTTGACGCGTGGTCGAATGCCAAGTGCTGCTGGGTAGGGAGCATGAAAGTTTTCTAAAGGACCGTCCCCCCCTTTCTCGACGCATCCAGCCGCGCGTGCCGCGCCCCCCTTCATTCCCATTATCGAATGCGACGGATCCGAGCTCCCGAGGTTACGAGCACTACCTACTCACCGAGCGGCTCACAGCCGCGCAGCGCGCAGCCCTGCACGTCCAAGTCAGGGAGCATGGAATTCAGAATCGTGCTACTGCTCCCTACTGTGCTGCCGGAAGCTGCACTGCTTGTTGACGGCCAGCTGCTCACAGCCGTGCTGCTCGACGCAGTGCGCGCCCCTGCTTGTACTCGTCGTGGAGATCAGCATGGATGCAGGCTTCCGTCTTGCCGCACGACCAAGTGGGCATGGCCTGGGTGCGGCAGCTTCCAGGGCGGCCGCCAAGATGGTCCTAGATGCCGCCGAAATGGCCTAACCTAACCCCAGGACGACCCAAGAACTCCCAGCACGAACTGGAGAGGCCAACATAATTGACTTCCGATTGTTCCCAACCGTCCTGTTGTGTTGGGTCCTCGTCCTCCTTCCCTTCCTCCCTCCTCTGCTCGTTCATTCTGCATGTCAGCCAGTTCGCCACGCCCCTCACATGCCTCGTCGCCCTACTCGGAGCTCACCCGAAGGCCATGGTGGCACAGTCCGCATGGCGTACCCGCATCCGATTCGGCACATCCTTCGCACGTTTCGTGGCCCAACAACGAGCCTCACCGACAGCCCGGGTGGCACAGTCCGCATGGCGCACCCGCGCCCGATTCGGCACACCCCTCACATTTTTTGTGGCCCCACAGGAGGCCCCAGCGGCACGGTCCGCATGGCGTACCCGTACCCGATTCGGCTCACCCTCTCACATGTCTCGTCGCCCGTAGGCAGCTCCACCGAAGGCCCCACCGGCACAGTCCGCATGGCGTACCCGCACCCGATACGACACACCCCTCACAAGTTTCGTGGCCCCACGGGGAGCTCCACCGAAGGCCCCAGCGGCACAGTCCGCATGGCGTACCCGCACCCGATTCGACACACCCTTCGCACGTTTCGTGGCCCCACGGGGAGCTCCACCGAAGGCCCCAGCGGCACAGTCCGCATGGCGTACCCGCGCCACAGCCCTCACATGTTTCTTGGCCCCAAAGAATGCTCCACCGAAGGCCCCACCGGCACAGTCCGCACGGCGTACCCGTACCCGATTCGGCACACCCCTCACACAGGGGGCTCTACCTAAGGCCCCAGTGGCAGCGCCCGCGTGGCGGCCCCCCTTAGTTTCGGCACTCCCTTCGCACGCTTCGTGGCCCCATGAGGAGATCCACCGAAGGCGGTACACACCACGACGGTACTCACAACTGCGTAAGGTTGGATACTTCGCGAGGCAATTTTTCGGACAAGTTTTTGCGTCTTCAACTTTCTCGGGCCTCCTTCACCTCAAAACGGATCAAGGGGCTCCAATATGGCCGCCGAGAGGCCTCCAAGACGGCAAAGGGGGGCCCAATGCGGTTAAAAGTGGCCCATGGGACCCCCAACGCTGCCCCACAGGAGCCCTGGCAAAGCGGAATCATGGGAGCAATGCGACGCAAACGACGAAAGACCCCTCGATATGACGCGGAATGATGTGTCACATGTTACGGCTTTCACAAGACTCGGGACACGAGGTGTCGCACGTTGCGGCTTCCTGTTGCGCCCCCCGAACAGTCGCCACCCATGGCGCTGGGCTGTCGCGGAGGCGGGACTTGCTGCAGACAGATGGGTCACAACTCGCGCAACATCGACCTCGACGGTCCGCCTGCTCGTGTTCGCTCTCGGCCCCCCATTATTCGATTGCAAGGTTTAACGCCAGACCAGACGCAACATGTCCTTGTACACCGATCCCGTTCGCACATCTTCTTCGTCCTAATGTGGACTCCCCCCCATGCAGAGAATCGTCCCACTACTCGTCGAGAAGGAGTATATCATTGCGCCATTCTACGTGATATCGTGGAGGTTCCCTTCTGTAGAGGCCTCCTAGATGTGACCGAGTAGATGAGGTCGGAAGATCGCGCCGCATCGCCGATGCGGCTCGATGCGAGCCCGACTCCTTCCACGCCGACGTCACCGATGCATTGCGCACGTCGCCGATGCAGAAGGCGATGCGGCGCGATCCTTCGACCTCGTCTGCCCGGACTCCGCTTGGGAGGCCCAGATCCTCCCACCCGGGCAGCGCAGAGCCCGAGCCACGAGCGCGCGCCAGCACCGGAGCGCCCCTCTCGTGCGAACTTGGAGCTCCCTCTGCGGAGGCGCGGCCTCCCGCACCACTCGGCGGCGGTCGTGCGCTCATCCCGGAGGGGCGCGCTCGTGCACGTGACCTGTGAGCCCGTGAGCCCGTGGCCCGACGTCGGGCCACAGGCTCACAGGCTCACATGCGCGGTCCCGCACGTGCAAGCACAAGCGATACCCCAACAAGATGGAAGGGATGACTCCCCGCTCGTCGGTGGCGACTGCGGGCGCGACCTTCGGCCCAGGACGGGGAGGCCCTCCCGTGCCGACGTGGAGCTGCCCCCACCAGGCGCCTCCTGCTGCCTCGGCCCTCGGGCCACGCGAGGCCAGTCGGGCGCTGACGTGCCGCCGATCCCGACGCCCTCGTCGTGCCCTTGCTGCCGCCAGCGGTCTTTGCCCCCCCCCCCCCGCCCAGCTCGCATGGCTGGGCCCAGGGGGGGGGGGGGGGGCGACTCTCGATTTTGCCTAGAGCTGCAGGCGCGGCGGGAGTTAGCCAACTGGCCGTGCGCTGGTGGCCCTCGGAGCCCCTCGAGCTGCCCGGCACGACAGCGCGTCGAGGGTAGCGTCAATTGACGGGAGTGCTCTGGGTTAGTCCCGATCCTGCTGTCGAGCTCGGCCGGAGACCCTAGCGGCCGAAGCAAGACGGACCCGAGGGTTGTCAAGTTGAGTAGCATATTGATCGTGCTTCGACTGCTCGCCGAATCGTCCGTAATATTCATCGCGTAACAGAAAAGCAAGCCCCAAGATGGCCACGCTGACCGATGACAACGACCCATGCGATAACGACCTCGTTCAATGATCTCGAGACCATCGGCAGCCGCGAGTTTGAGCAACGACGGAACAACCCGCAAACGCTACCATCGAGGAGTAGTACGGAGGTCATGGCCCATCTGCCGATCACGTGCCCACTGAGCAATGAAGCCCCCAAGTGGCGTGCCTTCCCGAAAACCCTGACAGCAGCGGGTGGATCATGATTTCTCATGTGCTGTTTGCAGAGTACTAGCTCTCAACTCCGGTTCTTAAACTCCCTGAGGCCTGCGGGCCTCACCCCTCGACGCGGACCGATGGGGAAACTACAGTCGGCTGTCTCTGGACCGCGTCTGTGCGGGAGGCCTCTGCCACCAGAACTCCCAAACATGCTGTCAACTCTTGCAGAATGGGGCAACGCCGCCGCGGTCAAACAGTCACAATGCCTATCAATGCAATTGTGTTGACTCGGGCACCACGGAGAGGGCTGTTTAAATTGCCTCACTGGCTTGGGCGGGGGGCGCACGGAAGATCGAACAGGGCCACAGGAGAAGGAAAATGAGTAGGAGTAGGAGTAGGATTAGGAGTCAAGTAAGCCAGCTCGAGCGAGTCAAGCATGGCATGCCTATTCCCACCCGCCCTCCCACAACATAAGAAACAGTGCTGACGCAACTGGGGGACGAAATCAGATCGGCAAGGTGGTTCGGCACAGCTGATGCAGCCACGATGGCGGTTACCGATGGGAAATCCCTGGCGCGTCTCAAAGGCTGCGCTGGCATTTTAGCACGAGCCGAGGATGCCCCAGGAGGCCCCAGGAAGCCTCAGGAGGCCCCAGGAGGCCTCCGGAGGCCTCAGGAGGCCCTAAGAGGTCCCATGAGGCTTCAGGAAAACCTAGGAGGTGTCAGGAAACCCCGGGGATCCTAGGAAGCCCCTAGAGGCCTCAGGAGGCCGCAGGAAGATCCACGAGGCCCTGGGGAGGCCCCGGCTGTTCCAAGTGACCCTCCGCGCTCGACGAATTGGCGAGCGAAAAATGTAGTAGTAGTAGTAGTAGTAGTAGTAGTAGTAGTAGTAGTAGTAGTAGTAGTAGTAGTAGCAGTAGCAGTAGTAGTAGTAGTAGTAGTAGTAGTAGTAGTCGTCGTCGTCGTCGTCGTCGTCGTCGTCGTCGTCGTTGTCGTCGTCGTCGTCGTCGTAGTACTAATCGCAGTAGTAGTAGTAGTAGTAGTAGTAGTAGTAGTAGTAGTAGTAGTAGTAGTAGTAGTAGTAGTGGTAGTGGTAGTAGTAGTAGTAGTAGTAGTAGTA